TGTGTGTGTGTGTGGTGTTTAATATATTTACATAAGGTTTTATAAGTCTGGGCGCTAAGACTTTAATTCCTTGATGTCACTCAGGTTTTATATAACTGGCAGAAGAGACTCAAGTGTACTGTCTCTTACACTTCCAGGGAGTGGAACCAGCAAACTTTCGACTACATGCTGAGCCACCTCCATTCTCCAAACGCTGAGAAAATGGGCCTGGCCCTGATCTCCGGCTACAACCTCTTCCGAGATGAAGTTCCGGTGAGCCAAGCATCCTCGACCGTGAGGCATATTAGCCATGGTACAGAGAAACTACAGGAGGAGACCATTCCATGAGTAGAAAGAAAGGCTTTTCTGGTACCAAGTCACCAAGGCTATCTATGCCGGGGGAGGAGGGGTCATGGGAGACAGAGAGAAGGGAAGAGACTGTCTGGACTGACAGGAACTAGGTGTCCTTGCCCAAGGTAGTTGACTCATGAGGGAAGGTTAAAAGGCACTCTTGGAGGACTAAGGGTGGTTCCTGTCCTGCTTCTCTGATGAACAGAAGCCCACCTTTTAGGCTTGCATACCCAGTATCAACCCCTCTGTTTACCCTGCCTAAGTCCTTCTCTTTAGGACAATGTCACTGGCACTGCCATCTGGATGGGGGATTTGGACCTCACAGGAATAAACAGAGCTGGGGCCTTGAGCTGCAGGAGTACTCAGAGGTCACAGACTTACAGTCCAGATTAGTCTGTCTGTCTGTCTGTCTGTCTGTCTGTCTGTCTAATCCATCATCTATCTACCTACCATCTATAATCTATTATCTATCTGTCATCTATCTATCTATCTATCTATCTATCTATCTATCTATCATCTATTTATCTATTTATAATATATTATCTGGAGTTGAGGGTTGTGGCTTTGCGTGTCCTAGGCAAGTGTCTTACTACGGAGCTATGCCCCAGCCTCAGGTCCACTGAGACCACTGTCTCTACCCTACTCCTGGTCTTACTCTTATGGTAAGTGAAGGGAATGGACCTGAGCCTGACTGTGTGAGTTCAGCTCTTCCTCCCAGCCATGAGATTCGGACAAATTACTTGACTTCTCTCAGGTCATTTGGCCTGTCCGTAGGGATGCACACAGAATCCACCTCAGTGGCTGGTTGTGAAGGCGAAACAACAGAGCCAGAGAAGCAAAGGCTTTGGCCAGTGTCTGCCACAAGCCGCATCCTCTGAGTTTCTGTTATTCCGATGATCCGGTCCACCTGCCCCTGTGAGCCCGTCTCTGCTTCCTCCTCAGGACCCTTTCTGGAAAAACACAGTTCTGGGATTCCGGAAACTGACCCCCAGAGAGATGGACATGTTCCCCGATTATGGGTAAGATTCCTGCCGAGTGAGAGAAAGAAACAGGAAAGGCCATGACTGCGCCTAGGTGTGGTGGAGGAGAAAGTTTACTGGCGAGACAAAGGAGAGAATAGCACAGACAGAGACATCTGAGAGAGTCCAGAGAGGACATGGTTAGAATGAGCTGGGCCCCATGAGGAGAGGGGGAAGGGGAAGCGAAAACAGAGAGAGGGGCGACCGGGTGCTGCAGCCAGGAGACCAAAGATATAGAAAAGGCAAGTAACCAAAATGATTGGATCATTCAGGGAAGGGCAGGGCAGACCCCCCCTGGGCTGAGAGTTCAGGGTATGGGTCGGGGTATGCCAGCCATACCCTGTAACAGGTAGGAACTGAGGGATGCTGGGAGAACATGGAGGCCAGGTCTGCGTTGCTATGACCTGGTCTCGGACATTCGCATCAGGGTCTGAGACTTATCACCTGTCATAGGCAAAGACTGGGGCTAACAATTCAGACAGAACTGTCTAGAAGGCAGCAAGAAACTGGAGCCCCAATCTCACATCCCATCTCTGTCCTTGAGCCCCTGGTACCCTGTCCTTCTAATATCCAGCCCCTTCCTGGGGTGCCAGGTGCACTGGGCTTTGCACACTAGACACAAGCTACCTATAAAGACAGGCCTTGCTTTAGCTCATGAAGTGTTTACCATGGCTCTTCCGTATCACAATCCAGCAACGAGAAGGGACTATGGGGTCCCACGGTGGCCTTTGATGGAAGCACCTGATGGTTTAAAGATTGTTCCCTAGGACTCACCTTCTAATCCCATCAGCTCTCCAGACAGGGATCTCAGAGACCGAGCCTGTGCATACGGCCCCTGAAGGACGCTCAACATTTAAACCATAGCCCTCCACATTGCTAACCCACTCTCTCAGATGAGGAAACAAAACTTCAGAGCGCCTGAGTGACTTCCCAGGGCCACATAGCCATGTGACCAAGCTTGGCCTGCGTGCTCCTCACCTGACTCCATTCCCCAAACTGCACATCCAGCTTCTACTTGCATATCCCAGGATGCAATCGTTTGATAGGAAATGTTACCTTGCATTAAGCTGCACCCTCCCTGTTACCCCACAAATGCCACCTGGTGACTTATCTCTATCCATTTTTGGGGACTCAGAATATTACCAAGCCAATCTTCAAACAGCAGATTCTGACCGTTCCCTCTCCCCCCTCCCCCCACTCTGACTCTAGCTATGGCTGGTTCAACACAAGCCTCCTTCTAGAGGGAAAGAGCTACCTACCATGGCTGACTGAGAGGTAAGACCTTAACCTTCCTTTGAGAAGGAAACATCCCAGGGACCAAGCTGTGAAAGAGTAGCAGACAAACGCCAAGCTGAAGATCTTGGGGTGCCGCGTGGGAGCTGTCCCTGGTCCTGATCACCACCGTGTGCATCACGGTGCAGCCATGGTTCTGCATCAGGCAGAGTGGCCACCCACTTTGCAGATTTCTGTTGTTATGCTTCCTAGCAACTTCCCTCAAGGCTTCGTTCTCATACGATAGTTTAAATGGGCTTGAAATGCTCTTCTAGATCTGTCTACATAGCTTGCATACATTTTCTTTAAAAACGTTTCTCTCCCTTTCCTTTTTCTTGTCTAACTGCTCTTGCCACCATCCCTAGAACAAAGTTAATCGATGCAGGCAAGAATGGATGTCCCTGTCTTACCATTGATTTTTTTTTTCGAGACAGGGTTTCTCTGTGTAGCCCTGGCTGTCCTGGAACTCACTCTGTAGACCAGGCTGGCCTCAAACTCAGAAATTCACCTGCCTCTGCTTCCCAAGTGCTGGGATTAAAGGCGTGCGCCACCACCATCTGGTACCATTGATGTCTTAATATGGATCATGTAGCGTTACACATTAGCCAACATTAGCTTGGAGGGTCACATACATTTATATTAAAGGAGACTTTATATGTTCCCTATATTTTATAAAGATTTTTTAAAACTCAGAATTGAATGGATACTCTTGTGGTCTGGGAAGACTTTAAAATATGGCTTTCAGGATCCTATTCTGCATTTACTGAATCAAAACCTGCAGGGCAAGGGTCCAGATTTTTTTGTTTTTGTCTTTGTCTTTTTGAGACTACATAGCCCTGGTTGGTCTAGATCTCACAGAGATCAACTATACCTGCTTCCCAGGTGCGGGGATTAGTGGCGAGTCTCACGTCTAGTAGGTCCCGAATTTTATATGTCAATATGTTCTCCGGGTGAGTGTAGTTATCAACCGAACTCAGGAACCGTGTTGTGTGAGACCTCTCCTGGAGGGACACATACATGACTCCACTTTAGGGATCCCACAATGGACTAAAGTGATTATTACATTGAAGTCCAGCTTGGTAGCCAATGAGTTTATTGAGTTAGTAACAGGAGTGCGGGAAGGGGTCAGTTACGGGAGTCGAGATGACTTACGGGAGTCGAGATGACTCGGTGCCTGTGGCATCAGGAAGCCCATCCCAATGCAGGTGTGAACTGCAACCCCGGAGCTCCCTGCTCGTCTCCACACAGCTGCACAGCTGGGAGAATCTCCTCTGGGGCAGCTCAGCTGGAGCGAGTCTCCGCCCTCAGCCGGCCAATGCTTGCATAACCTTGGGGAGGGGCCTCGTGAATCTTGACTGTTCTCAGACCTGTGAAGTTTGGTACTTTGTATGTCTCAGGAGAGTCCCCACTCCTTCCAGGAGACAATGTTACAAACTGGAGGAAATTGTAACACAACAAACCATTGCCCTGATGTTTACTACTCTTGTCCTAGGGACGTTGGGACCCCTGACCAGCCTTTTACCAGGTGTCCTATCATGATGAAATTCCGTAGTTACCCTTCCAATTGTTACGCTTTCTAGTTCTTTTGATGGGTTTTTAGGCCCAGGATCAAACCCAGGGCCTCGTATCCCCTGGGAAGACATGCCACCACTGAGCCACATCGACAGAGCCCTTCTCTGGGACATTGAAAGACAGGGATGGATGCCCCTGGGCCCACTCTGGTGTCATGCTCTGACAAAGGTGCAAATGGCATTGCTTCAGCTCTGCCTCCCCGCCCCGGCTCCCCTAAAGTTTGTTCCTTTGGATATAAACCAACAGGGTGACAACAAATTGTAATGAGACACAGATCCTGGTCTTGTGTCCCAGTCTCTCTGTGGACAGCTCGCTCCATGACATTCAGCTCAGTGTTGGGCTGGGGTCACCAGAGAGGACCTTGTTTTCTCCTCCTCCTCCTCCTCCTCCTCCTCCTCCTCCTCCTCCTCCTTCTTCTTCTTCCTCTTCCTTCTTCTTCCTCCTCTTCCTCCTCTTCCTCTTCCTCTCTTTTTTCCCGGTCTTTGAGACAGGGTTTCTCTTTATAGCCCTGGGTGTCCTGGAACTCACTCTGTAGACCAGGCTGGCCTCAAACTCAGAAATCCACCTGCCTCTGCCTCCCAAGTGCTGGGATTAAAGGTGTGCGCCACCACTGCCCGGCTAAGAGGACCTTGTTTTCAAAGGGATATTTTTCAGACCAGTGTGGCCCAGCCGATGCCCATGAACTGAAAGACTGCCCAGGAGCATTGAGGGAAGTTAATATCCACAGGAATGTCCCCTGTGCTGCCCTCTAGGAGGGATGTGGCAGAGAAGTGAATTCAGGGTGGTTTTGATGTGTTTCCTCATCCCAGGTTAACTGAGAGGGGAGTGAAGTTCATCCATCGGAAGGTGGAGTCTTTCGAAGAGGTGAGTGGCGAGGGTCTGAGGGAGTAGAGGAGGGAGGAAGGAAGATGCCCCTGATGCTGGGTGGGAGACTCCCTTCTTAGACTCTCAGGGTCCCTGTAGGCCTGTCCCAGTCTCTAACCCCAGGAAGACTTGGGCATTCTGAGGGCGGTGTCTGCCTTGATATTGTGGTACTAAGGGAACAATGGAGTCACAGTAGCCAGAGGGACTGGTTATATCTGCACTCAGACATGTTTCAGAGTCAGGGACGCCTTATCCTGGAGTCAGCCCTACTCCACTCCCCAGTCCAGACCCTTCCATGCTTCCGTGACACCTGACATTTCTGCAATGTCCAAGCACTCAGCTCAGACCACAGGCACACCATCACCACACGGTGATGAGCTCAGGGCCACTACATCCTTACAGCTCAGCTCTGAGGTTTCATTTAGTCCCAAGAACAATGCCTGGTACAGGGAAAGCACAGCGTGTCCAGCTGCTGGTACTGAGCTCCTTGGGGTCCGGTCTGGCCCTGATGGACACCTGGGGTCTGTGGTTGATTCTGATACTGTTCTCTTCTGTGGCTCTAAGACAGTACACACTTAGCAATGTATGTGTCCATGAAGGCCTTGGGGGGGGTCACCAGGGATGGGCTGCAAGCATGGGGGAGCTTCCTGTGTCTGACTCAACAAGTACTCTGACCACAGGCCGAGTTGAAGCAAGTGTCCTGGCAGAGAAAAGGCAAGAGGACAAGCTAAAAGGGGTCTCATGGAGGGTGGTGCCATCATGGCTTGGTGTGAACTTTTCTTTAAGGTTTCAGGAAAGTTCACGTCTACGGTACTTCTATCCAGCAACCTCTCCTCAGGGTCACACAGCGTCCTCACAGTAGCCCGTGAACATTATTAGCTTTGCTAGAAAATCATTGTCAGCAAGGTGGTGCGGTACACGCCTTTAATCCCAGTGCCTGGGAGACAGAGGCAGGTGGATTTCTGAGTTTGAGGCCAGCCTGGTCTACAGAGTGAGTTCCAGGACAGCCAGGACTACACAGAGAAACCCTATCCAAAAAAACAAAATAGAGGAAGAAGAAGAAGAAGAAGAAGAAGAAGAAGAAGAAGAAGAGGAGGAGGAGGAGGAGGAGGAGGAGGAGGGAGGAGGAGGAGGGAGGGGGGGAAGAGGAGGAGGAGGAGGAGGATTGTCAAATGAGAGCAGCTGAGTCTCAGGAGTGGACATATCCGTGGTCAGAAACTCAGTGAAAGTCAGCGTGGAGATTTGGAGCCTGGGTTACTGGATCCACATGGGCACATCTCACCCCAGTTCCCCAGGGAGCAGACAGCTGTGATGTACAAGGCTGGAGGACGGAGGAGAGAGGGCACAGCAGAGTCTCATCCCTTCCTGTCCCTGACTTGTTCTTGCTCCCAGGTGGCAAGAGGAGGCGCGGATGTGATTATCAACTGCACCGGGGTGTGGGCCGGGGCTCTGCAAGCAGACGCCTCCCTGCAGCCAGGCCGGGGCCAGATCATCCAGGTGAGGAGCTGCTGTGGTCTGTGGGGAGCTTGCCCTGTCCGCTCCCACCAATCCAAAGCTGGTGCCACGGGGTCATGTTGATGGAGTGACTTTGAGACTTTGAGGAAGTGACTTATTGATGAAATAAGGACCAGCCTGCTCCCTGCCCTGCTGGAATTTTGTGCAAAGTGCACGTAGGGACCTTTTCCCCATGTAGGAGCCACAGCACAACCCTGAGTTACAAGAAAACCCAGTGAACCTTTATGAAGTGCTTATCAAGGGCCAGGTGAGCGCCTAGAAACTTTTTGGACTTGATAGTTTAGTCTGTAGCACAGCCCTTTGAGATAGTCCTAGCATATCACACCACCATCTTACCCGAAGCACAGAGATGTCAAATACACACGCAAGGATGCACAGCAGAAAACAGTGAGCCGAGGGTTAGAACCCAGGTAAGCCAGCCTGTGGGTGTCAGCGTTGTCCCATGACTCTTGGGCTGTGTAGGGGTGTACGTGTACACGCGTGGTATTTGGGGCACACCGATGGATGTGGCCGTATGCACGTATGAATGTGTGCTCATGCGTGTTTGTATGTGTGCAGGAGTGTGTGTTCCTGTGTGTCTGTTTGCTTTTTGAGCTCAGGTTTTCTGTGGATCTATGGTAAGGGTGTGGGATACTCCAGGGAGCACGGGGAGCTGTCAGGTGACTCCCCCTTGCGGTCGTGAGTCAGAGGGGTCACTGTAGGGCTGAGCATTGAGGGAGCAAGCCAAAGGGTAAACCGCTGACCATGACCTCCCTCCCTGACAAGATGCATCTGTCTTGACTGACAGGTGGAGGCCCCCTGGATAAAGCACTTCATCCTCACCCATGACTCCAGCCTTGGCATCTACAACTCCCCGTACATCATCCCAGGGTAAAACTCTGACTGATCTAAGAACGTAGAAGGGGCGACTTCATGGTGTCGTGACACCCCATCCACCCGGCCAGTGTCTTTCTTTCAGAGTTTTTTTTTTTTTTTTGGTTTTTGGTTTTTTGAGACAGGGTTTCTCTGTGTAGCCTTGGCTGTCCTGGAACTCTCTCTGTAGACCAGGCTGGCCTCGAGCTCACAAATCCGCCTGCCTCTGCCTCCCAAGTGACTTTGTTTTTCTTAGCCCTCTTTATTTTTATACAGTTCTAGGACAGTTACACTCGGAGGTGTATTCCAGCTGGGGAACTGGAGCGAGTTAAACAGCGTCCGTGACCACAATACCATCTGGAAGAGCTGCTGTACACTGGAGCCCACCCTGAAGGTGAGGGAGGGTGCCCTCAGCCAGGGCAGCTTGGTCCTGATGGGAAGATACCTCCATGGGGGTAAGTGGGCCAGTTAACCTGAGAGAGAAACTGGGGTATGTGGTGCACAGTGCAGACTGGAGTATATAGTATACAGTCTGCGGTATAGACCATACAGTACACAGACTGGGTGTCTTAGGGTTTTACTGTTGTGAACAGACACCCTAACCAAGGCAAGTCTTAGAAGGACAACATTTAATTGGGACTGGCTTACAGGTTCAGAGGTTCAGTCCAGCTAGGTGGTAGTGGCGCATGCCTTTAATCCCAGCAATTGGGAGGCAGAGACAGGTGGATTTCTGAGTTCGAGGCCAGCCTGGTCTACAGAGTGAGTTTCAGGACAGCCCGGGCTATACAGAGAAACCCTGTCTCGAAAAACAAAAAACAAACAAACAAACAAACAAAAACCAGAGGTTCAGTCCATTATCATCAAGGCAGGAACATGGCAGCATCCAGGCAGGCATGGTGCAGGAGGAGCTGAGAGTTCTACATCTTCATCTGAAGACTGCTAGGAGAAGACTGGCTTCCAGACAGCTAGGATGAGGATTTTTTTTCTCAAATCGTAATTCATTCACACAGGGGTTATAAACACAGAAAGGCAGGATGTGGGGAAGGGAATGACACTGGAGTGTGGGAGTTCAGGGGGAATACAGATATCTCCAGAACCGGGAATCGGCTGGGTGAAGGTTCCAGGGACAAGTCACTATGACTCTGCCTATGACTCGCTTGTCCTTATCTAAGTTGGTATTCTCTGCCATGGCTACCAATTTACAGGATCTATGACTACTCAGGCTGGTAAATTTCCACAAAAGCTGCCTGTTTACATTAGCTTATAGCCATCTGTTTCAATGTTTTTCCACTGAGACCCAAGACTTGGTGTTAGTATACATGTATGACAGGTCTATTGCTGATTTTAGGCCTATGGCTGATTTTAGGCCTCCAGTGGGTAAGCAGGGCTGCCCCTGACATCTCCTCCCTTCTCTAAGTATAGAAGGGCTGTGGCAATTCTAAACTTGCGAAGGCAGGGATAGAGGCCTGACCTCCAGTATTTGTAGGATGAGGATCTTAAAGCCCACACCCACAGTAACACACCTGCTCCAACAAAGCCACACCTCCTCTAACAAGGCCACACCCCCTCCAACAAGGCCACACCCCCTCCAACAAGGTCACACCTCCTCCAACAAGGCCACACCTCCTCCAACAGGGCCACACCTCCTCCAACAAGGCCACACCTCCTCCAACAGGGCCACACCTCCTCCAACAAGGCCACACCTCCT